AAAATCTGTTAATTTAACATGAACTACTCTGTTACAGATTGAGAACTTGGCAGCTATATTCATTTTCTCTTGCTGCATAACAAATTACTACACACTTAGCAGCTTAAAACAATACCTGTTTATTAACTAACAGTTCTGTAGGTCATAAGTTAGGGCTGTACAGCGTGACTGCATTCTCACTGAACCGAATTGAAGCTGTTGGCCAACACTGCAGTTCTTGTTTGGGGATAGGAGCCCTCTTTTAATATCCATGGTTATTTTCAGAACCCATTTCTTTGCATTGAAGTCCTTGTTATCCTTCTGGCTGTTGGCTGGGGACCACTCGCACTCCTTGAGGCCACCCACAGCTCCTTGCCCTGTGGCCTTAATGAGTAGTTCACGATATGAATGTTTTCTTTTTTCCAGTCTAGCTGGAGCATGTCCCTGACGACTTCTGTGACCAGCCAGAGGAAACCTACTTTAAAAGGGCTCATGTGATTAGGTCAGGCCTGCCCAGTGTAGCTATTCTTTTGCCATATAACATAACATAACATAACATAATTACAAGAGTGATTTCTAAGCATATTCATGGGGCTACCCACACTCAGAGTAACAGAGAATTATTCAGGGTGAGGGTCACTGGGGCTCACTTTAGAATTCTGCCTACCACAGCAGACACTTCACCTTTAGGTTTGATTTATGCAAAGTTCTGAATTTCTTTTTATTAGACAGGAATACATGAAACCATTGTGGCTTTTTCCTCCCTAGCTTTGTGACTTCATGCAGTGCTACAGCAGCTACCCTTTTTAGATAAGTTATTTTGAGAGAAAGTATATATTGATTGATTCTATCCTTCAGTAGAAATGCCATATTGCATATTTCTCAGACTGACAACTACTACCAAGAAGAGGGGCGTGAGAAGGAGGGGTGGTAGGAATAGAGTGAGTTTTAGATGAGGTGGTGGACATAGGAGGAAAGAAAAAGAAATTTGACTTTATGTGACTGTCCATGGAATACTACCTGAAGAAATTGATTTGGTATTCCTTTTCTTTATGTTTTGATTAAAGATTTAACTGAATTAATTTCTTAAGTTGTGTCAGTTGTCATTTAAGCTGATAACAAAGGGAACTACTTCTTTTTCAGCCAAATGTGAAGTTTACTTGTCCTTTACTCTGCTGGAATAGGAAAGAAATAGCAGCTGGAAGGAAATCAGAACTCCCATCTGGTTGCCATGACAATTTAGAGCAGATGGTGCATGCACTTTGCTAGGCTTGTTCAGTTTTCCCTCTCTTTTCTGATAGAGCAAATGTACATGAAAGATACAATATGAAGTAGATAAGCATGATAAAATAATCTTAGTATTCTAATGTTATAAAGAAAAATATTGTGTTTTTTAATAACTATATTTTTATGATAGCCCTGTTTGGAGTAATGATTAGAATGTTTAGCTATGTTTTATTTAGGGCTAAATAAATATAGTTCTTTGTGAAAAATATGAATGACTAGTTGGAATTTTGCTTTCTAAGTTTTTTTTTCCAGTCACTGAGGTGGTACATTTATGTTATGTATACACATTTTTAAATTACAAGTGTCTTATGTAAACTTTGGACAGTTAAATAGACTCTCAGTCTATTTTTACAAAACCATGTATTACTTTTCACTGTGAACGTACTGGGGCAGTTGTAAAAGACCATGCATACAGATTGCTTAAATCTAAATGTAGATACTTTTGCTTTTTCTTGGAAGCATGTACTTTATTGAAGTGTAGAGTAAGGGGGAGAGGTTATAGCTCAAGTGGTAGAGTGCATGAGGTTCAACCCCCAGTACCTCCTCTAAAAATAAATAAATAAACCTAATTTCCTCCCTCCTCCAAAAACCCCTAAATAAATCCACTTTTAAAAATGTGGAGTTGATATTAAAACCTATTATATAGTTGTATAGGCTTTCATTTTTTAAAAAATAGCATTTTGAGGTATAATTCACATACTGTACAACTTATATATTTAAACTGTGTAATTCAGTATTTTTTAGTGTAATCATGTGGCTGTGTAACCATCACCACATGAGAACATTTCATCCCTCATGAAGGAACCCCGTACCTACTGACAGTCAGTCTCCATTTCTGTTCTCTCTCTCTTTCCCCTACTTCCAGCCCTAAACAACCATTAATTTATTCTATCTCTACAAATTTGCCTGTTCTGGACATTTTGATATAAAATGGAATCTCAGTTTTGACTAGCCACATTTTAAGTGCTCGGTATGCCCATGGGGCCAGTGGCTACCATATCGGACAGCAGAGTTCTAGATGTTTTGATATGATAGCTAGTCAGAATATTACGTCAACATTACTCAACTTCCTCTGTATTTTAGGGTGCCCTGACTCATCCCTGTAACTTGATAGAACTGGCTTTGGGGAGGCTATCAGCTTGGCCCTCACTGAGATCAGAAGGTTGAGAATTTTGTTAAGCGACATGCAGCTCACTCAATGGGTAAAGAAAAATTGAGAGACACATTATAGTAAAGATACCTGAGCCTCTCAAATGAGAGCAAGTGGGCCCGTGAAAACTAGAATCTCTCCTTCCTTATCACAGGTACAGTCTATTCTACTGAGGTAAAGCTGTATCTCGCAAATACTGCTGGTGCAGTGGTACTCAACATGGGCAAAGTTTTGTTCCCGGTGGATTTGTCAATGTCCAGACACATTTTTGAGAGTCACAGCTGACGTGTAGTGTAAAGTGATTGCACTCTACAGTGCACGAGACAGCCCCACAGCAGTGAATTTCCTGGCCCAGTGTCAGTGGTGCCGAGCACAGCAGGTCGCACTGGTGGGACGAGGTCCTCCAGTCCTTCTCTTTGCTTCCGTTGTTACATAGTCTCTACCGGGGATATAATGTGGTGGTGTTTTTTGTTTGGTTTTTGTTTCTGTTTTTTAAATTTAGAGAATCTGTTCATTTTTTCATATGAAATTTCTGAGGAAGAACTAGCCATCTTTGAAAGTATTTCTTATTGAACATATATGTTGAGTAGATTCTACCCATGCCCCCGAGGAATGAGTTGTGCAGACCTTTTCTCTAACCACTCCTCTCCCATTCCTCAGACCTCTCTTTCCCCTAGACCACTTTACTTTTAGTAAAGGCATATCTGTCAACAAGAAGATGAGCATTGGCAAGGCTGCCAAAAAGATGATTGCACTTCTGTAAGGTCTGCTGGGAGCTGTGAATGTTTTTGCAGTGATGTAGGTGTTTGATTGTGATGATTCCCTTTCAGGGCTGCATCATGAGGAGTGGTTAATTCTGAATGTTACACCACCTTTGTCCTTAATCTGTTACCCTGGGAGCTGTAACTTTTTGAGTCTTCATAGCTTCTAGCAAAGAAGGAACCAGTACAAGTCATTTTTAGCTTATAAGCATTCTTTGGTTGACCTGCCAGGGGTAATCATACTTGGCAGTGTTGCCTTCTTTGGATTATGATCCCCACCACATCCTCATGACTGCTTTGTGTTTCTGCCGCTTCCCTTCATTACTGTGGCACTTCGAGTTTTTGGTGGCAAACCACATAAATGAGCTGTCTTAGGCCAGAAGCAGAGTAGTGAAGGCTCTTTGGGGACTCTTAGAATTAGCAAGAGTTTAGAGGTCCAGCTTAGAAAGGGGTGGTGGTCAGGGCAGCTCCTTTCACTCTGCCTCTTCCTGGCAGCTAGAGTGAGCTCGCACCTGTGATGGCTGAGCTTCTCTGGTGAGGCTCCAGGGCTCTGTGCCCTGGGCTGTACCACAGTGAGGAGAGAGGATCTGGAGCCAGCTTTTCACTGCGCAGGGAGTAGCAGGGTTTCAAAAGATGCTTTAAGAAGGGGAGCAGTAGTATTGGGCAAGCCAAGAAAAAGTGGCAGTTATCTACCACATCGCTGCCTGTGGGATTCCCCTTGCTTCCCAAGCTAGAGACCTTCTGCTCATCCTCCTGAAAGTGCCTCTGGGAACAATCCTTCATCCTAACCTCCTTGCCCCCAGGTATCTGTTCCCTCCCCACTTTTTACCCTCAGAGCAGTGGCGAGCTCGGGAGAGTAGCAGTGGTCCCATTGTTAGGGCAGCTTGCTGCACAAGGGAGCTTCTGCATACAGTTGAGACTTTAGGTTCAAGATTCTCTATTGGGAGGGACATGGTTAGAAATAGCAGTTATATTTTTTAAGTGAGAGCTTGATTTTGTAAAATTGCATTATGAAGGTTTTATTTCTAAGTGAATGTATTTAATATGTGCTTGAATTATTCTAGATATCTGAAAAGGTTTACTTCTGTAACTTCTTAAGTTTTTGTTTATTTTTAGTATTACTGCTTTTTCTATCTTCTGTAAAAAAAAAAAAAGCATACTAAACGTTTAGCCTTCCTGTGACAATTAGAGATGACCACTGCAAAACTTGCATTGTTGTATGGATTATATTTGCATTTTACTACAGTCGGTGCTTTCTTTGTTTAATTTCCAGTTTGGGGCAGTGTGCTTAATAAGCAAGGTTGATAACTGAATTCCTTAATGAAAATAATTATGTATCATTTACAGCACATATTAATCAGCTTTTATGAGTTATCTAGGAACCTAACCGCATTTCTCCTGTTCCTATGGGAAAAGGAATTCTGATTTTAAAATAATGGAAAGTAAGCCCCTTCATAAGTCCAGGGTTGTTTTCATCTGTCTTTTTATAATCTCTGTGGGATGTGTTCTAACTAATAAAGCTGTGTATCATGGGGAATGGGATACTCTCTTATTTCACTTACATTTCATAGTATCAGAGCTTGAGAAATATTAAAGGTCTGAGTGAAGATGTGCCTGAAAAAATATTCCTCAGTCAATAAAGGTAGTTCTCCCCCACCCTTCTCAGCTTGTAAAAGTGGATGAAGTAATGTTAATCAGCATCTCTTCATAGTGTGTGGCAAGTCGTCCCCCTCCCCCCCCCCATATTGAGAAACTCTCAAGTGTGTCCATAATAATGCAAGATTTACTTCTAAGTAAATGGGAACGTTCCTCCTCTGTTTCAGGCCGGAGCCTCAACAGAAAGCTCCCTTGGTTCCTCCACCGCCACCGCCTCCACCGCCACCACCTCTGCCAGACCCTACTCCCCCAGAGCCAGAGGAGGAGATCCTGGGATCAGACGATGAGGAGCAGGAGGACCCCGCAGACTACTGCAAAGGTGATGTACTTGCCTTGCTGGGCCCCCTGTGATTTGTTGGAGGAAGAAACAGGAAGGTTAATGATGCCAGCTGCTCAGTGTTTATTAAGTTGGTGTCAATATCATTTAAAATTTTTAGCTCATTAAGTATATAGAATGATACCAGAGAATGTAATAGATATCAGAAGGAAAATTGGTAAGAGATAGGAAATATACACATATGTATATACATACTCTGGGTACTTTCAAGAGAATTTAAATCTGTTGATAGAATTAAAGATAGTATAAAATGGGACAATTAAAGTTAAAAACATAATAAGCCATCTCAGACAAGCATAGAAAATAGAGGGTGCCAGACTCCTAAGGGGAGCCAATTTAACTGCATTGGACTGTAAGTTTTGTGGCTGCTAAGACTGACAAGGAAATGTTCCTTTCTCTGCATAGCACTGAATTTCATTGTCTGTGGAGAGAAAGCCTGCCCATTTATTTGCAGAGGCAGACTTTTCCCTGGCAGTGTACTCAATGAAAAAGACATTCTGTAGGTTCTGCCACTGTGTGACATAGTGGATTGTGTTTTCAGCTGTGATTTCACAGAATGCATAAAAATTATTCAAATGGAGTTTCCTTGTATTGATGCTTCATAAAGACCAAGGCTACATAGCTAGCTAGACTCCTAAAAGGCAAGCGTGTCATGTCATGTCATGTGATGGCTGTTGAGAATATAATCCAGACTCTGTGCAGACCCGACTCTGAGAATCTAGGAGAAAGGAAAGGCAATCCATTGGGCTGCCTCTTTGTTATTTTACTCATTTGGACTCTGATTCCCTCTAGCAGAAAAGTATCACAGTCTGGAGTTCTTAGCTTCTGAACAGTTGATGAGACATTTATTTGCTACAAATTAAGGAAACTATAAATCAGATTCTATACAGGCAAAGAATAGATGGCAGGAGATGCACACATGTTCAGGCCATGAAGCGTTAATGAATCTTTGGCTCTGTTGGATCTTAGTATCAATTTATCTAATTACTGCAGGCCATTTGTGTGTTGTTTTAGGAACAGTGTACTTTTTAGTTAACTGTTAAGTGGAAAAGGAACTCATTCTGCTGTGAAAGTTTAAGAAGTAATCTTTCACTCTAACCTGATTCTTCCATGGTGTGGATTTCTATACATAGAATCAGTGTCTTCCTTAGGAAATGAAATATTGATCTTCAGCATTTATATGAGTTGTGATGATGACCCCAAAGGTCAGAAGATTCAGAGACAGTTAGGAAGGATGAAAAGAAGATGTTTTTCATCCTCCCTCTTAACCTGCATTTCTTGGTTTGGAAATAAAGTTATTTGAAGAGGAAATATGGACAATTGGCTTTTGATTTTGCTGCTTAGGCCAAAGCATTGTGTTGGTCTGAAGGAACCGTTCTTTTCTGTCAATAGGCTCCATCATGCTGGAATGAGAACTTTGTCTCACACCTGGTTCTTCACTATGTTGTCAGGAGATTTAGTAACCATACCCTTATCTCTTTACCACCTCTGTGTGTTGCCAGTAGATGTAACCAGTGTCCAGGTTCTTGGTCCCGTCCCAGAAAGAATTCAGAGACAGGACTTGGAGGTTAAGAAAGTAAAGTGAGGATTTATTAAGGGATAGATGTACACTCTCAAGGGGAGAGAGGGCAGGCTCAAGTGAGTAGCTGCCCTGAGTTTCTTTGGTAAGTTGGTTGCATAGAGTGTAAAACTGAATGGGTGGAATATTCATTGGGGAGGGAAGAGTTTGGGGTCATATTCCCTGAGGGGTACTTCTAATCTGCAAGGCTAATTTTATGGAAATGAGGGCATAATGAGCAAAAGGTTACATTCTGACGCTGGAGATTCCTGCCTTGTTCCATCTTTCTTTGTCGACCTCCAGACTGCTCGTCACCCCACAGGGTGTGACTGCTTATCAGCCCAGAGGTTCCTGCCTTTTTTTCCTCTGCCCTGGGACCCTGGTGCTTACATGATGTAGGGTTTCCTGCACTTGGCCTGTGTCCTCCTTTCTCTGCTTATATCTAGCTGTCTGCTTGTTGTAACATGTGGATCAGCACAGTAGACCCCTCGGACTGATGTATAGGGCTATGATTGAAGGTTTCCCCGGTCAGGGTTGATTCTAGGTAACTGTTCACTCTATACATCTTGGAATATAAAGGTGAGCCTCACTAAGACATGTTGGAGATGGTAAAGTTCTTTTCTTGCACACATGCCTACACACACACACACACACACACACACACACACAGAGCTTGAGTAGGTAACGTGGGCCTCTAGTCAGCATTACATGTGACAGATGCCTTACTCTATGAATATAGACCATAACAATTTAAGATAACTGACATAAATGTGTTCGAGGAGCCTGTGGAATTATTGAGGAATATTTGGGGAAAGAACTCTGGAATTTCCTCCCCCTCCCCTCACCCTCATGAATGGAATAGAATAGATAACTTTCCCTTCAGAGATAGTTGAGTTTATTACCAACATGACGCTTTATCACGTCTGAGTACTTTAGTACATTTTGCCTACAGTCAAGCACATTCTCCTGTGTAACCACAAGGCAGCTGTCAGGGTCAGGATCAGGAAGTTAGCGTGGATGTAGTTCTGCCGTTCATTACTCAGGCTGCATTACTCAGTATTGCTGTTTATGTAAAACTGATCCATTGCAGAATCACACAGCATGTTGTTTTCTTCTTCGTTTAATGTGGAATATAGTTCCTTAGTCTTTTCTTGGCTTTCATGACTTTGACATTCTTGAAGATTATAGACCAATTATTTTGTATAATGTTTCTCAGTTTGGAATGTCAAAAAAGTGTTGTTCTGTGAGAAGTGTTCTTTTCCTTGCCTCCTGTCAGGTGGTACAGAGTTTTGATTTACACCATACAATTGATGTCCATCACTTGTTTATGGTGGTGTCTGTCAGGTATCTGGACCATAAAGTTAACCTCTCCCCCTTGTAGTTAATAAGTATTTTATTGATAGTTACACTGAGGCTTTGTAAATATCCCTTTGTCAAGAATTTACTTCTTCCTCTGCTTTCTTTCCCTCCCTCTGTCCTATCTATCCCTCCCTTCCCCCTGTCTGTCTACCTCAGATGGGCTCATTCGTGGATTTTCCTATTATTCAGTGGCTTATAATCAGTTACTCTCCTTGTTTGTTTGGATGCTTAGATTATCCCGAATTTGACCTTAGGGGTCCCTTCTGGTTGATACTGTGTTCCTTTGAAAAGTTCCTATCATTCTTTAAGCCCTTTCTTTTAAATAAGATATTCCTGGTTCATCTTGTATTTTTCCCTAATTAGCTCTTTTCCCAGGACCTCCGGTTCCTTTTAGTGCAGAGCAGTATTCAGAAAACAAGACCTGGGCGTTAAGTGTGATTACTACTGTTGGAGTGTCGTTGCTCCCAGACCTCTTAGCACAGGCTCAGGACACACACACACGCTCTTTTATGTTTATATATATTCTATATGTTTATTTCTGTTTTTATTGTGAATCTGTTAAAATCCACAAGTTTAATATGATATCTCATTTCACTCTTACCAGGGGATTTAGCCAGTTTTCTCCTTATTGTATCTGTAGATTCTTTCTTTGACTGTAAGCGACTAGGCCATCCTCATTATGTTTACGTATTGGATTCATTTCCTTGTATGTAATGGGTCACCAGTTTCTGTCACTACAGTTTTTGGCATTTCTCCCCTTTCCTCATTACCTAGCTTGTGCTCAGACATCTTTCGTTGCTTGATGCTATTTAGTGGCTGTGGACTGAATTGTTCAGGAAGTGGGAAGAGGAGCGATGGCTTTCACTGCCTAGGGGTGTGTTTTACTTAGTCTTTTGAGGTGTCTTGTCTGTCTTGTCGTAGCACCTCTCTTTTGCTTTGACTTCATTCCTGGGGAACCTCTGCCTTACCAGCCACTTCACAGCACTCCCCAAGTTAAGTAAAACATCAGCAAAACCAAAATACGCCACATCTTTTCTCTCTCTTCACAGGGGACATTTCTGTTCACCATAGGGATTACGTATTTGGGGAGGCAGAGTGTGGCAGATCACCTGGAATCCCATCCCCCAGCAGTAGCTGCAGTGAGCATTTGGATCCTTGACATTCTGAATCGTTCATGACCAACCAAATTGTGTCTTAATTTTTTCCCTTCTTATTACTTCTTTACCTTTATAAGTCTTTCCTTATTCAAAATTTGTGAAACTTCTGCCTGTTTAACAGAAGGGCCACTATTTAAAGTTCTTGTACCGCTAACGTGTTATTCATTGCTCCGTTCTACTGGCCGTAGCCGTCTCTGTGGACTGGGGCTCTCCTTTTCCTTTCTTTGTAGCCAGCATGTTCCTGCCTACGAGTGCAGGGGGAGTATGGACTTTGGAGTCTGAAAGACCTTGATAAAACCTGGCCTAATCACTTCCCAGTTCTGTATCCTCGGATACAAGTTCCTTTTGCTTTAGGCTTTAGTTTTTGCATCTTTGATACAATATAATCTTCCTATATAATATAATACATAACAGCATCTGCCACCTACAATTTTAAGAAGAATAAAGTTAGATAAATTTGTGAAGTAGGTCATACTACCCAGTACAGAGAAGATTCTTAAGAAATAAATTTTTTCCTCAGTCCTGTCTTTGTTCCATTATTCTCTTCCCGGGTGTGTCCCCTTCTATACTTGCACACTGCACCCATTCACGCTGGCCCCCTTAGTGGTCTTAACTACCTTGCTTGTGGTGGGCTTGTTTCCCTGGTCTCTGCACTGCTTCTTTCTCTCCCTGTTTTTTTGACGTTACCTCTGATCAGTTGTCTGAGGCACGAACTGTAGCAGTCAGCTGTGTGGTTTATTTAAACTGTTGCTTCCAAGCTGGTAACAGGGATCAGGCACAGGGTCAGCCTGTAAACAGATAGTTCCAGGAGGCCCTTGTGTAATACTTGCTCGCTTTGTGAGTTTTGCTCTTTGTCAAGGCAAAACGTCCTCCTCTGGGGAGGTTTTAGCCTAATGTTGGTTTTCAGA